AACATTTTCGCTTTCATGGGTTGAACACACTGTTTTGGTATCTGTCCCCAGTTGGCAAGCTCACCCTCAGTACATTTCCTTGCAGGGTCCCAGAATTGAGATTATGCACTTGGAACCAACAGAACCTTTCCATGAAGGAAGTGGCGTGATCTGCTTGTTCTCTGTGCAGTGACTGCCATAACCATACAATGCATCTTGATCCCAGGTTGTTCTAGGAGATGAGACCCCAGTCAGGAGATCCAAGCATAGTATTTCTTCAGAAAAGCCACTACTGGCGATAAAAAAAAAAATGACTGGAGTGAGGACAGAATCAGCACCCAAGTGTTTTCCTATTTTCCTAGGTGGGTTTGACAGTGATACACTCTATAACTTTCACAGGGTGAGAGCAGTGTTTTTGCCAGCAGAACTCAAATGTCAGGTTCACACCTGTCCTATTTCCCTGCAATGTCCCAGCCTTGAAAATACACACTTGGGACAAACTGAACCTTTTCATGAAGAAAGTGGTTGACTGGCTGTTCTCTGTGTGCTGTGTGGCAGAAAAATCAATGCATTATGAATGCTGGTGTTCTATGAGGTGAGCACTGAGATGGGGATCCAAGCATATTGTTTCCTTTAGTAGTGTCACTTCCTTGCATCAACTGACTGTAGTGAAGAGAAAGTCTTCACCCAAGGTGTTTTCCTAGCTGGCTTTGAGAGGGAAACATTCTAGCTTTCAAAGGGTGAGAAAAATGGTTTTGCCCACTGAACATAAATAGCTGATGCACACCAAGCATGTTTCTCTGCTGTTTCCTAGCACTAGAAATGCACAGTTGGGGCAAACCAAACCTTTCCATGTAGAAAGATGTGTGCACTGTTCTCTGGGGGGTGAGTGGCAAGCCCATATGACACAGTGTGAACCTAGGTGTTCGGTAAGCAGAGCCAGGTTCACATCCAGCATGTTTCCTTGCAAGTGTCACAGCACTGAGAATACACACTTGAGTCAAACAACCTTTCAATATGGAAGCAGGGTATACTGGCTGATCTCTGTGTGATAAGCTTCCTAACCATATACTAGGCATTATGAACCTGGGTCTTCTATGAGAAGGCCTCATATTAAAGCAACCCAAGCATGGTATTTATTCATAGGAGTCACTTGGTAGTGATGAAAAATTGACTTTAATGAAGGGAGAATCAGCACCCAAAGTGTATTCATCAGTGGGTTTTGAGAATGTAACACGAGCTTTCACAGTATTTGATCAGTGCTTTTGCTAGCAGACCCCATTTGGCAGGTTCACACAGAATAAATCCCTGCAATGTCCCAACACGGAAAATATACACTTGGATCAAATAAAAACTTTCCACAAATGAACTGGTGTGAACTGGCTTTTCATTGGATGTTTAGTGGCATAACCATACAAGGTGTTCTATAAGCAGAGCTTATAATATGGAGATGCAGGCAGTTTTTCCTCACCAAAGTAACTTGCATGCACTAAATTTGATGATAGTGAAGTGACAGTCAGCACCCAGTGTTTTTGTAAGTGGACTCAGGGTGAAACCTTCTATTATTTATAGGGTGAGCACACTGTTTTGCCAGCAGTCCACTACTGGCAAGTTTATACCCATCATATTTCCTGAAAGTGTCCCAGAGTTGAAAGGACTCACTTGGAACAAACTGAACATTTCTACAAAGGAAGTGGTATCAACTGATTGTTCTCTGTGCAGTGACAGCCTTAACCATACAACGCACTTTGAATCTAGCTTGTTCTTGGTGATGAGAATTCAGTAAGGAGATCCAAGCACAGTGTTTCTTCAGAAAAGCAACTTGCAGGTGATAAAAATTGACTGTAGTGGAGATTAAGTCAGCATCCAAAGTGTTTTCCTAGGTGGTTTTGACAATGAAACAGTCCAGCATTCACAGTGTGACAGCAGTGTTTTGGCCAGCAGAACTCAAATAGCAGGTTCACACCTATCATACTTCCCAACAATGTCTCAGCCTTGAAAATACAAACTTTGGACAAACTGAACCTTTCTATGAAAGAAGCAGTCGAACTGATGTTCTCCGTGTCGGGCATGGCAGAAAAATAAAGGCATTATGAATGTCAGAGTTCTATGAGATGAATTCCTATTATGGAGATCGAAGTGCATTGTGTCCTTTAGTAGTGTCACCTCCTTGCATTAACTGCCTGCACTGAAGAGAAAGTCAGCACCCAAGCTCCTTCCCCAGGGGGATTTGACAGTGAAACACTATTAGCTTGCAAAGGGTGATAAAATGGCATTGGCCTGAATGTAAATGGCTGAGGCACACCCCACATACTCCTCTGCTCTCTCGCAGCACTGGAAATGAACAGCTGGTACAAGATGAACCTTTGTATTTAGAAAATTATGTGAACTCTTCTCTATGTGGTAAGTGGCCAACCCATATGACACAGTAGGAACCCAGGTGTTCAATAAGCAGAGCTGGTAGTAAGGCCAGTCAGGCAAATTTTACTTTAGAAATACTACTTGCTTGTACTAAACATTGATGGTTGTAAACTGAGAATCAAAGTGTTTTTGTAAGAGGCTTCAGAGTGAAACATTCTAGCATTTACAGGGTGAGCACACTGTTTATGCCAGCAGTCCATAAATGGCAAGTTCACAAAACCAGAGTATTTCCTGGCACTGTCCCAAACTTGAATCTACTCACTTGGAACATACTGAACCTTTCCACAAAGACAGTAGTGTGCACTGGTTCATCTGTGTGTCATGAGTGGCATAACCCTACAATGTATTATGAACGTAGGTGTTCTGTAGATAGAGCTCCTAGTAAGGAGATGAAAGAACAGCATTTCTTCAGAAAAGTCAAGGCCAAGTGACCAGTATTGATGGCAGTGAGGGATCATCACTACCACCCAAGGTGTTTTCTCAAACACCCAAAGTGTTTCCCTAGGTGGGTTTAAGAATGACACATTCTTACTTCAACAGGATGAGAGCAGACTTCTTGCTAGCAGAGCCCAGTTGCCAGTTTGACATCCAGCATGTTTCCTTGCCGAGTCTCAGCGCTGAAAATAGACACTTGAGTCAAACAATCATGGATGATGGAAGTGGAGTGACCTGGTTGTTCTCTGTGTGTTGAGTTGAAATAACCATACAAGGAATTGTGAACCTAGGTGTTCTAGCAGATGAGCTCTTGGGAAGGAGATCCGAGCACTGTGCTTCAGCCAGAAAATTCACATGCTGCATCAGGAACTGATAGTAGGGAAGAAAGAGTGTTTCATGGTAGGAATTCTTCAGCACCCAGAGTGTTCTCCCAGGTGGGGTTGAGAGTGAAACAGTCCAGCCTGCCAGGCTCCTCTGTCCATGGGATTCTCCAGGCAAGAATACTGGAGTGGTTAGACACTTTCTCCAGGGGATCTTCCCGACCTAGGAAATCAAACCAGGGTCTTCTGCATTGTAGGCAGATGTTTTACCAGCTGAGCTACCAGAGAAGCTCTTTTTCCTAACAATAGTAAGTTTTTATATCCTCAAACACTACTGTAAATTGACTACATAAAAATAATCTTAAAGAAAATGGAAAAGAAAGAAAACTGAATTTTTGTTATGATTATCTGATAAACTAACTGGTAATACCAAGATTAGTAACACTCATATGTGAAAAGCGGTAATGTTTGAACAAAGTTTTCTGTAAACAGTTCAAAGAAAATAAACTCAATGTGCACCAAAGGATATCTTCTTTAATCAACTTTACAAAGATCAAAGGTGGTAGAATCACAAAGGCATGCTTGAAACTTATCTTCATCTCTCCCTAATTGCATGACAATTTACTTAACCTCCATAAGCCCACTTCCCTGTACATACAATGGCATCCTATCTCTGAGAGTTATTGTGAGGCTCACATAAAGTAATGTATATGAGTACCTACAGCACAGTCTGCACCCAAAGCTGTTATTATCTCAGTGGCTCAGTGTAGCACAACTGGATATATAAAAACTTTCATAAAGACCATTTGAGATTATTCTACTTGTGCATTACATTAAAAATGATTAGGCTGATAAACAGATGTAAAATTTTTTTTTTTTACACATTATGACTTTGTAATACATTTTATCTTGGGATTCATTTTTAAAGCAAAAGTCATCTCTGTTGGTTTGCAACCTCAAGTTTCCTGGGTGAAATCTGAGATTGGCCCCCACACAGGCAGGATGAGGAGACCAAAGAAAGCAGCAGAGACCACTCCTAGCGGCAAGTTTAATAAGTAAAGGGGGGCTTATATAGGAAGCTTGTCCAGGGTGACTGCATGATGAGCTGAACTCCCCTTCTGCCCTTCAGAAGCTTAAAAATTTGTATAGAGGCCTTAACTGTGTTCAGTCATGTATTGAGTTCAAGGAAGTCCCAATAACACATTGCTCTCCCAAGGTCACATCCTTGGAAGGGTTCCCACAGTAGAAACAGTAGGAAGAACATACATTCCAAGGACAGGGGAGAGGGTGAGAAGCCTCCACTGCCTGGGTCGGCCCACATGCTCTAAATGACCTTTGCTGAAAGGTCTCCAACAACTGCCAAAATAAATTACACCATGTTATTTTCTTTTTAATAATTAAGAGTTCTAGAATGGCAATGACATTATGAGACTATCTTCTATTTCTGCAGTTGTTGACACTTGGAAGATGCCAACTCTTTCTCCATTTCCTTCTTTTCTACAGAAGTAGTTGGCTTATCTTACCCCATTTCTTCTAAGATCTTTTCTAAAGAAAAGACTGTGCATCAATTTCATTGCTTTTTATCCAGTAGTGCAATAAAAATTTTACCTTTATAATCATACAACTATTAAAAATCAGGATTTGTTTACTATTTCCCTTGATATCAGAAGTTAGACTTTTTCTAAATTCTCTAGAATTTCTCATCTGACTTAAGGGATAAATTTCCTAGAGGCAAGAGACTCCCCTGGTGATCCAGTGGTTAAGACTGTGCTTCCTTCCACTGCTAGGGCTATGGGGTTTGATTCTTGGTCAGGGAACTGAGATCCCACAAGCTGGGCAGTGAGGCCCTCCCCAAAGAAAGAAAAAAAAGTAAAGGATGAAAAAGAAAAAGAAAGTAAAGGGTAGAAAAAAAAAAGTTTCCTAGAGACTAACCTGTGAACAGGAGTGTTTTTCTGACATATGAAACTTATTGAAGAGTTCTTTTTCTAACTGTATATTTTAGCCCACTTTTTGAATATGTTTGAATGATCTCAACAAAATACCAAAGATTTTAAGCAGAATCAATGATTATATAATTTTTGAGTGTCCATTGATGAATATTTGGAATGCCTAGCAAAATCTAAGAAAAACATGAATTTAAATAAAATTTACTTGAATGATAATAAAACAACTCTGTGGCTAGCCAGATTCTGAAATCTCCTGCCTTAAGGACTTCTGATGACATACAGCAGGAAACACTTGGCAATGTCTGGAGACAATTTTGGTGGCCACAACTGGGTGGTGGGGTGGGAGGGACATCTAGCGAGTAGAGGCCAGGAATGCTGCATCAACTAATACACAGGTTGCTCCGGCATATTATTTGAATACACAGAATTTGAATACACAGAATTATTTGGCCCCAATGTCAATAGAGTGAAGAACCATGACACACAATTACCTTTCTGTATGGACTCCAAAACCTCATTGTTCAAGCTGCAGACTAAAATCAAAAGCATGGATGAAAGGATCCATCTTAATACCCTTTTCTTCCTTTTGATTCTTTTTGAAAGTCATGCGTATCTTCAAATAAGAAATATTCAAAGAACAGAGAAGCAAATCTGAACTCTAGTGCTTTTTCTAGTATGTGTCATGAAGGACTATTTCTTGCTCCTAGATTTGGTCCCTTCAATCAGGATACATCTTCTGTATGAGTTATTTTATTTGGGTTTATAAAAACCTGAGAGACACCTGATTTTCTAATAAAGGCAGGCTCACATTCTCACTTGCTTTTTATTGCTAAAAATTGCCTTGTTTAAGACAGCTGTGTCTGAAAAAGGAATTCCAATGACCACTCAGGAGTCAGTGCTTATGAACGCACATTAATTCTCCAGTGATGTTCTCCTAACTTCCAAGCACTGTCTAGCAGAGACAAAATGCTGAACATGTTATAACAGACATGGAAACAAGGAAACAAGTTAGGTACTAGTTTGCTTTTAGATTTCATAAGCCATTTCTTTCATTAAACACATTTTCGAGCCTACAAATTTCTGCTTTTCTGAGATCCACTGGCAGATGGGGCTATGTCATTCAATTCATGGTGAGGACTATTAGATGTTCCTGAGGGTTGACTGAATAATTAAAGTGATAAACCAAATATGAGTGTTTTTATTCCATTTGCTCAGCATTAATAAGACCCATCATGAAAAGGGAAAATGGCATCAATTTAAAATCGCTCATTTGGTAAGTACCAAAAAGTCCCACATATGGAATGAGCAGTAAAGTACTCTGAGCTTCAAGGCTCTGGGTCCACCATGGAAACGGATTCTCTCTTAGAATCTCATTTCCTTCAAGTCCTTGTAATTAGCTGTAATTAGCTAGGTAATACGGAGTTGACCCTTAAACACAAGGACTGGGGTGCTGACCCTCTGCATAATCGAAAATTGAATTAGCTGTTGAAGTTCTTTTGCCTTTTCTTATTCCTTGAAGTTTTTCTTCTGTTGGAGACCTTGACACCTGGCAAGGGCCTTTGAAGACAGGAAGGCATTTTGTTTGGATTCTTAAAAGAAGCTCTTTGTTGAATATCCTACTAAAGTCATGAGAAAGAACTATAGGATTACCAAGGGAGAACTTTGGAATCTTCAAGGATCCAAATACCTAAAATAAAAAGGGCAGTCCTGCTTGAAATGTTGGGGAAAGGAAATACCTTATCTATGTTACATCTCATTTATTCCTCACAAAACTGTAACAAGATAGATACTATCTGCATATTACATGTAAGAAAATAGCTCATTTGCCAAAAGGCAATCATGATTTGGACACAGATTTACCTGACTCAAAATTTCCTGCTCCTCCTCTTAGCCTTCTGCTTTGCCTCCAGGGAAAGTTTCAGGCATCTTGACCTGTGCTGAACAAAGTAGCCACTAGTCAAATGTGGCTCATCTGAATTAAGATGTGCCATAAAATACACTAGAAGCAATGACAGGTATTTTCTTGGGCAGAGGATGAGATGATTAGATAGCCTCTGTGACTCAGTAGACACAAATTTAGGCAAACTCAGAGAGATAGTGGAGGACAGAGGAGCCTGGAATGCTGCAGTTCATGGGGTCACAAAAAGTCAGACATGACTTACTGACTGAACAACAACATAAAATACACAATGCATTTTGAAGATGTACTATAAAAAAGTAAAATGTCTCAATAATTTTAAAATATTTGTATCATACTTGAATGAACGCTTTGGATGTATCAGGTTAGATGATGTGGGTTATTAAAATTAATTACACCCATTTGTGTTTTAATGCAGCCACTAGAAAAAAAAACTTAAAATCACCTATGTGGCTCACAATATGTTTCTATACAGTAGCACGGATTTTGATCATTTCCACTTAGGTTCCCAGAAGTGAAATTGTAGGATTCCAAAGGGAAATTTTTAGGAATTTAAAACATCAAAATGCTACACTCAATCCTTCTGTTTACTGTCTTCTGAACTTAATAAACATGGACCTTTAATTCCCTCTAGAGAAAGCACTCTGTCTTACACAAGTTGAATGGTCATCCTATGAACTTACAGAGGGACTAGAGCATCCCACGGTAACTAATGAAGTAAACCATTATCAATGATTTTGTGATCATGTTTGGTACCTCCCTTAGTCAAAGCAGTGCTGTAAATTCCTTGAGTCATTTCGGGTAGGGTGAAGATGGCACATGTTTTCATCAGGAATGGAGAACTGATGTAATTTCATTTTGGTATGGGACCTAAGTATTAGACCAAGTTTTACTTCTCTGAGCCTCTTTTTTTTTTTTTTTTTTTTTTTGCCCCTCCTCTGGGCCTCTTTTGATCATGATCTTCTAGCATAGTGGTAAATGCAATAATAGATGCCAATGAATAGACACAAATGGATGCTTTCACGTCCATAGTATAAAAATGCTAAATCCTTTCACTGTTTTAAGTTGTGAGCCAGAACAAATGTTTGGGCCCTGGAGAAGCACATTTAAGATTTATAAAAGAAAAGTTAACTAATTTCATTGTGGGTCACTGTCCCTTGAACAATGACAAAGTCACCTCTTTCTTAAGCACATAGTTACAGTTAAGCCTTGTTATATGCAAAACAGATTTTATTTTTTAAAAAGTTCTTGAGATAAATTCTGTAAGACTAACGAAAATTTTGTTTGCACATGGATTTATTTAGTCTTCTTAAAGGCAACTGGTAAACACAGGTAATAAGGAGTTGACCCTTAAACACAAGGATTGGGGTGCTGACCCTCTGCATAACTGAAAATTGAACTTTCTCACTGTAACTGTATCTGTGGTTCTGCACCCACAGATTTAACCACTGCACAGGTTGTGTGCATGTAGGCATGCGTGCTCAATTGTGTCCAACTCTTTGCCAACCCATGCACTGTAGTCCACCAGGCTCCTCTTTCCATGAAATTTTCCAGGTAAGAATACTGGAGTGGGTTGCCATTTCCTTCTCCAGCACAGGTTGTGTAGTACTGCTTATAAATGGACCTGCACGATACAAATGTGTGTTCAAGGGTCCACTGAGTAGTGAAAAGCATGATTAGCGCACGTCATCTGTGGACTGAGGAGTCAGAAAATACTAAGAAGAGTATCAAATCACTTTGTTGGGACTTCCTGGCGGTCCACTGGTTAGTAAGACTGTGCACTTCCAATGTGAGCAGTGTGGGCTGGATTCCTGACTGGGGAACGAAGGCCCGCAGGCCATGAAGCACTGCCAAAAAGAAAAAGAAAAAAAATCACTTTGTTATATACCTGAAATATATAATATTTTATGTCAAGTATACTTAAAAAAGAAAAAATAATAAAAATAAAATTAAAAAACCACCAAGGAAGGTATAAAGGAAGAAAATAATACAAGTTCCATCCTCAGGGTTAGAAGGGATTTCTCTAATATGTAGAAATTTTTTCCTTAGGACTGGTTGAGTGATTGAAGATTGAAAAAAAGGGAGAAGTCGCATCTCATTTTCTTAGAAATAAAGCAGCTCCTTTGGAGTCATACTCATAGGGAAAGCTTATATATATAAAACACAAATGCAACTCATTCCCAAGTAAGAAAGGAGCCATAGGCTCTGTAACTCAGGTAGCCTCGTTTAGCAGTCTAATGGGGTAGTTGGTACTGTCATTTCTATCAGCTATACCTTGTCATTTGGTATCACTACATTAGGTCAGATTAAACAGAAATCAACCTTTCACTTTCTGCCAAAACCGTTATATCAAAGGTATTGATACTCTGAAACAGAGTTATCTTCCAGCCAGAGATCACAAAATAACCAAAGCTCTCCTAAGTCTTAAAAACACTGTCACAATGATTCAGTTTATATGTCATCTTTAACTTTTCTGAGGTGATCCAATCTTGTTTTAACCTAAAAACTACCACATATATTTGATTAAACAACGTTGTTATTTAGCTTAAGGTAACTGGGTCACATGGGCTGGGTCAAAAGAGTCAAATACTTTGGTGGACATTTAAAAAGTATAACCATAGAGGGAATTCTCTGGTGGTCTAAGTGGTTAGGACTCTGAGCTTTCACTGCCAAGGATGCAGGATCAATCCCTGGTTGGGGAACTAAGATCCTGTAAGCCTCACAGCACAGCCAAAGAGAAAAAAATAAAAATAAAAACTCTCTCTCTCTATATGTTTATATATACACATACACACACATATACATACACATAACCAAAGCAAAGGCCCATTAGTTCAGCTCCCTTTCCCCAGTGTGTTAGTTCTGGTGCTGAGAAGTTGAGAGAGAACTCTTCTGTTTTAGTCACAGAAGGGCACAGGAACACGAAGCTGCTGCTGGAGAGACACAAAGCTAAACAAATGTATGCTGGATAGACAAACATGTCATGAATCCAAGGAAGACACACACAGGTACAAGAATTATTCATGCTCTTTCTTGGCTGTTTAAAACCTTTTTTTTTAGAATATTTATACTTATGCTCTTGTTGTTATCTACAACGTGGCTTTTAAAAAAACGCCTGAGCCACTTTGTGGTTCTTGCCCCAGTAAAATCATCTTAGAATTTCTTTTCCCTTGTCACTTTGACTTTGTGTGGCTTCTATAAAATGAGGATCCTGGAAAAGAACCCTTCCTGTGACCCTGGGAGATGAGGTGAGCAGGGCCCAGCTCAGCAGGACTGGACAGGTAAAACTAGCTGGATGGCAAATAGGCTATGACTACCTGGACCAAGGTATAGTTGTGCATATGTCTTAAGCGTCATGCTGACTCACCAGGAGAATGAGGATTATGTAGGCTGACCAGGGTGAGGTAGGAGGGTCCACAGGATTGTGTGGATTGTGGAAGGAGAGGCAGTATATAACATTCGTAGATTAAACATCTATGGTTCTATTAATAAAAAACGAAGATCTAGGTTTCTCAATTTTTTTTTTAAACTCATGAAGATTCAAGTCACTAATAGGTTCATTCTTACAGTTTAAAGTGAAAGCAAATGGCTATGGTGATGCAGAGAAGACAGCTGAACTGCACCAGTATATTTAAAATTTTTAAATGAAATTCTGAGTTACCTGACCTTATAAAAATATATGTTGATATACTAAATACTACACAGAGCTCTAGGATGGGGGATATTGTAAATGTAAAAATACATTTCTCTTGGATCAGCACCAAAAATATTAGTTTTCTGTACAACCTCTGACAAGTTTTTCAATATAGGCAAGTTAAAATGATTTGGTAAAAATCACAAACGCCATGGAAATCATTAAAGATAAATCCAAACAACTTTCAAATACATTTTGACATCAAGGTCAGGCAATTCACTTGGAGGGATAGTATTCTGAGTACCACTGAAATACTCTCTTAAGATTTCTGATGTCAACTTTGTACAACGGGAATATTTCATATCTCACACAAAGCAGGCACTCGGACTTAGAAACTTAAGAAAATTATTAGAACTGTTATTAAGACTGAGGTGAACAATTTGTGCAGCCTTCCACAATTTCAAAGAGGTAGTGATAGATACCGGTCCTCCTGGCAATGTCAAGTGCCGTTTCCTCCAGGCTGTTCTTCAGACCTGGCTTGATGTAGCGGTTCATCAGGAGGAGCTCCAGGGTATCTTTGCTGTCTCCGTTCCCAGCGGCAAGGTGTAGGGGGGTCAGGAGGCCTTTTGTTTGGGCGTTGATATCTGCATCATGCTGCAGTAAGAAAGAAGCCACTCTGGCATTATTCCACTTACAGGCACTGTGCAGGGGTGTCCAGCCATCCACGGTCACCGCGTGGACATCTGCCCCGTGTGCAATCAGCTCTCGGACCACATCCAAGTGCCCGCTGTAGGCTGCTCGGTGGAGTGGTGTGTAATTGTCTTCATCTTGAGTGTTCACGTGGGAAGCCCCCTCTGAAAGCAGTCTCCTCACTGTGCTCAGCTGAGAAGAAAACAGGAGATCTTTCACAAACCCAACATGAAACAAAATAGTAAACAAGGAACACGAAATGGTCTAGTGGTGTTAGACTTAACTAAGTTAAATGAAAACTTCCTTGTTAGTAGATGACTGTAAAATAAACACAAGATTTCTTTTGGGGAGGAGGACAACTGATTTAACAATGAACAAGTCAGCGTTAATTATAAATTCTTTTGGGTTTTTTTCCCCTCATAAACTTGATTTTATGAAGGTGATTCTCTAAAAACCAATCCATATGTTTACTCCTGGTCCAATTAAGGCTTACTGCACTAAAGCTACAGTTAGGTGAACAATACAGGCTAGAATCATGTTTGATATGTTTCATCTGTGAAGAAAACATAATAATGGAACATTATGTTCTGATCTTTTGGTAGTAGGATTATCACACCAATGTGCACGGTGTACAAAACTTTAAAACATACACTTTTATTAGTAGAATACAATGCTAACAAGGAAACCTAGAGATTAAGAAGCTCAATTCCTTCTAACTAAATAACCTCAGACACCTGTTTTCATGAAGTGATTTTTTTTTTTTCAGTTTGGTCTGAGGACAAAGCGAGCTTCAGAGACAGGTCCTCTGGCTTCCAATCTAGTAGTTTTTCTACTAAATTAAGGTTTCTTTTTCAACTGTTCTTTTCTCTTTTTTACCCGATTTTTTTCAGCAGCCCAAAGAAGCAATTTGCTTGGATCTTTTTCCATTTTTTTTTCTTGCAGTTGATACCACTCTTCAGTTTCTTCATCTTGCTCCTCATCTTCATCAGAATTCCCTACCCAGAGACTTTGGGTACCAGTGGGAATAAGGTGTCCATGTGTTTCCAACAGTTCAAGTTGGTTGAAGTGTTCAGAAAAGTCCAAGGAGTTCTCTGGGTCTGGTTTTTCATGATTTACTTTCTCTTTTTCCATTTTTACTACTATTTTAAATATAAATCATTTCAAACACCAGGATATAAATAATCTCTCCAGAGATGATTATGTCTGCTTTATTTTATTCATCAAGATCTGAAAACACAAACACAAAAATTAGGAGCAAACCAGTAATTGAAGATTTATTAATAGCATAAATAAGTCTTGCAAACATACACAAATATACTCTGTCTAAATTTTTTGGTGTTTATTAATACTCTTTACATTCGTCAAATATTAGAGCTGACAGATTTCAGTTATCTTTATTTTTAATGGCCTAATACTCATTTTTATTGTTTTCTTCTACTAAGTCAGTAGTTATGACTCTTATTTTGAATCTATTGGTTTAGATACTATGTGTATTATACTAACAGTTGATTAATGCTTGAAGTTTTAAAATTATAAGTAATACAATAAAAATGAGAACATTCACCATTTTTATAAATGAGACACATAGATGCTATAGAAGAGAAGCAAAAATTTGTAGTTCCTAAAAACTACTTCCAAGAATCAGAGATTCTTAGAGATGGAATATCCCCCAGAGGACACATGTCCCAATCTCTCATCAATGCAGATATCTTTACCATGACATCTATAATAATCATCCTCTTTCTACTTGAACAATTCTGGCTTAGGAAAATTCATGGCTTTAAAAAGTAGTCCTATTTACTGACAGACAACAATTGTTCTTAGTTGGGTTCTTGTTGTGAAACATGATTCTGGCACTCCTTCACTCAACAAAGATGAAAAAAACACCTGGCATGTGCTAGTCTCTCAGTGTTATGTGCTTGGGCTTGGTGGCTCAATCATGTCCAACACTCTGCGACCCCCTGAACTGTAGCTGGCCAGGCTCCTCTGTTTAAGGGATTTCCCAGGCTAGAAATCCCTGGAGTGGGTTGCCACTTTCTTTTCCAGGGAATCTTCCCAGTGCAGTGATCAAACCTGCTTCTCTTTTGTCTCCTACATTGGCAGGCAGGTTCTTTACCACTGCACCACTTGGAAGCCCGCCAGGCTCTAGGTACTGGGATTCAACAATGAACAAGATACATGTCTTAACCTCATGAAGTTCACCGTCTGGTTAGGAAGGCTGGCAAAGACAGCATTAAGTACTATGATAAGACTGTAACCAGATACCATGAATATACAGGAGAACCATCATTAACCCAGAATTATGGGATTACTGAGGGACTCCCTAGTGGCTCAGCGGTAAATAATTTGTCTGCCAATGCAGGAGACATGGGTTCAATCCCTGGGTTGGGAAGATGCCCTAGAGAAGGAAATGGCAACACACTCCAGTATTCTTGCCTGGAGAATTCCATGGACAGAAAAGCCTGGTGGGCTACAGTCCATGGCTTTGCAGAGTTGGACATGACTTAGGGACTAAAATACCACCACAAGGGATTACAGAAGGCTTCCTGAAAGAAATGATATTTATTCTGCTAGGTTGCCATAAAAATTTATAAACAACATCAGTTGAAAGAGTTATGCAGGGGGGCAGTCCCAAGATGGAGGAATAGGATAGGAAGACCACCTTCTCCCCCACAAATTCATCAAAAGATCGTTTGAATGCTGAACAACTTCCACAAAACAACTTCTGGACGCTGGCGGAGGACACCAGGCACCCAGAAAGGCAGCCCATTCTCTTCAAAAGGAGGTAGGAAAAAACATAAAAGAAGAGACAAAAGAGTTAGGGACGGAGACCCATTCTGGGGAGGGAGTCATGAAGGAGAAGTTTCCAAACACCAGGAAACCCTCTCACTGGCAGGTCTGTGGGGAGTTTTAGAATCTCAGAGGGCAAGATAACCAGGAGGAAAAAAAAAAACCCAAAACCCACAGAATAGGTGTCTAACCACAACTCCCAGCAGAGAAGTACCCAGATGCTCGAATCAGCCACTGGGGGCTGGACAGGGAGGCGCGGGCTGCATGCTTAGAGTAAGGACCAGGCCTGAATGCACTGAGGACAATCTGAGGGAGTTAATGTGAGACAGCAGCCCAAACTGTGGTATAGCCAGAGAGAGAGAGAGAAAAAACAAGAACTTTGCTGTGAGAGGCTATAATACAATGTGCAGCCTGGCCCGCTCACAGAGCAAAGGATTAAGTGATCACCAAAGGAGAGCTAGCCAGCTGCATACAGTCCCCTCCCTGCCAGAGGCAGAGAGGCAGGTGGGTGACAGCCAGAGCCAGAAGTCAAGGGGCTGCTCCAATCTCGGCCTCAGAGACCGGCATCCTCCACCAAATTGTGAGCAGGCCCCCAGTTGTTAACCACATCTTCCTGGGATCCTGGATGGTTGACATCTGCCAGGAGAGTCGCAGCCTGAGATCAGCTCCCCAGAGGAGACACATGGCACACCTGAGACCAGAGAGGTGATTAAGACGCAAGGCCCACCTGGGAGAGTGCGCTGGCCAAGCACCTGGTCGCCTGAGCTGCTCAGACCTGGGAAGGGCACAAAACACACGCCCAACAGTCTGTGCCCTTGCAGAGTACCCGGAGTACCCGAGAACCTGAATCCGAGCGGCTGAGACCTGGGAAGTGCATGAAACCCAGGGCCCGCTTTGGACAGTGCCCTGCAGAGCACCCTGCATCCTGAACAGTGTAGAACCAGAAAGCACCCACCGTGAGCTTGGGCAAACCCAGTGTGGTCCATTCACTGCGAGCACTCCCCACACCCGCCAGTGATATTTGCAGGGTTCCTCCTCCCCAAAACACAACTGAACAAGTGAGCGTAAATAAGTGACCACCTTCACCCTCTTGTGTCAGGGTGGAAATTAGACATGGAAGAGACTTTCAAACAGGGGAAGCCAAAATAAACAAAGAAAAGGGACCTGCTCTGCAAGTGACAGGTGCAACAGATTAAAACCTTGCAGTTAATATTGACTAAGCATTAGAGGGGGCTTATAGACTTTGAGAAGTGCAAGCTGGAACAAGGAACTATCTGAAACTGAACTGACCCCACACTGCCCACAACAGCTCCAGAGAAATTCCTAAATATATTTTATATTATCACTTTTTAATTTTTTAAAAAATTTAAGTTCTTTACTACTTTAATTTTCACTTTTATAACCTACTGCTGCTGCTAAGTCACTTCAGTCGTGTCCGACTCTGTGCAACCCCATCCCTGGGATTCTCCAGGCAAGAACACTGGAGTGGGTTGCCATTTCCTTCTCCAATGCATAAAAGTGAAAAGTGAAAGTGAAGTTGCTCAGCCATGTTCGACTCTTTGCGACCCCATGGACTGCAGCCTACCAGGCTCCTCCGTCCATGGGATTTTCCAGGCAAGAGTACCTACTATTACCTTGCAAAAAAAGACCCTGTTTTAAAAGCAAATTTCATATATATATATATATATATATATATATATTTTATAATTTTTGTGATTCATTTTCTTTTGTATTTTTAATATTGTATTTTTGAGAGTCTAACCTCTACTCTATGTTTAATCTTTGCTGCTTGGTATTTTTTTTTTAAATCAATTTTGTACCTTTAAGAATCTAATCTTCAGTATCCATGTTCACTTAGGGTTGTGATTACTGGCTTGATTGCTCTCTCCCATTTTGACTCCCCATTTTCTCATCTTGGTCACCTCTATCTCCTTCCTCCCTCTTCTCTTCTCTATGTAACTCTGTGAACCTCTCTGAGGGTTCCAGACTGTGGAGAGCACATAGGGATTTGATTACTGCCTAGACTGCTCTATCCCCTTTTGACTCCCCGTCTTCTTGTCCTGGTCACGTCTATCTCCCTCCTGCTTCTTCTCTTCTCCATGTAACTCTGTGAACCTCTCTGGGTGTCCCTCACTGTGGAGAATCTTTTCACCATTAACCAAGATGTTTTATCATCAGTGCTGTATGGATGGAGAAATCTTGAGGCTACTGTAAGAATAAGACTGAAAGCCAGAGGCAGGAGGCTTAACTTCAAAACCTGAGAACATCAGAAAACTCCTGATTCCAGGGAACATTAATAGACAAGAGCTCATTAAAAGCCTCCATACCTACACTGAAACCAAGCTCCACCCAAGAGCCAACAAATTCCAGAGCAAGACATACCATGCTAATTCTCCAGCAACACAGGAACACAGCCCAGAGAATTAAAAGACAGACAGCCCAAAGTCACACCAAACCCACAGACACCCCAAAACTCACTACTGGACACTTCATTGCATTCCAGACAGAAGACATCCAGCTTCACCCACTAGAATACAGACACAAGCTCCCCTAACCAGAAAACCTTGACAAGCCACTAGTACAACCCCACCCACAGGGAGCAGGGTCCACAATAAAGAGGAATCACAAACTTCCAGTCTACAGAAAGGGCACCCCAAACACAGCAATCTAAACAAAATACAAAGGCAGATAAATATTTAGCATGTAAAGGAACATGATAAATGTCCACCAAACCAAACAAAGAAGGAGGTAATAGGGAGTCTACCTGAAAAAGAATTCAGAATAATATTAGTAAAGATGCTTCAAAATCTTGAAAACAAAATTTTGAAAACAAACTAAATAGACTAGAGACAAGGATTGAGAAGATGCAAGAAATGTTTAACAAGGACCCAGAAGAAATAAAGAAGAGTCAATTAATAATGAATAATGCAATAACTGAGACCAAAAGCACTCTGGAGGTAACCAACAATAGAATAATTGAGGCAGAAGATAAGATAAGTGAGGTAGAAGATAGAATGGTGGAAATAAATGAAGCAGAGAGGAAAAAAGAAAAAAGAATTTAAAGAAATGAGGACAACCTCAGAGACCTCTTGGACAATATTAAACCCCCCAACATTTGAATCATAGGAGTCCCAGAAGAAGAAGACAAAAAGAAAGGCCATGAGAAAATACTTGAGGAGATATCAGTTGAAAACATCCCTAAAATGGGGAAGGAAATATTCACTCAAGTCCAAGAAACCCAGAGAGTCCAAAACAGGATAAACTCAAGGTGAAACACCCCAAGACACATATTAATCAAACTAATGAAGATCAAACACAAAGAACAAATATTAAAAGCAGCAAGGGAAAAGCAACAAATAACAAACAAGGGGATCCCAATAAGGATAACAGTTGATCTTTCAACAGACTCTTTAGGCCAGAAGGGTATGGCAGGACAT